CCCCAAAACCCCAAAACCCCAAAACCCCAAAACCCCAAAACCCCAAAACCCCTTAATTTTCTATTATAATTGTAAATATTACTACAAAATGTTAAAGGAAAAACTATTACAGTCCATTCTAGATTTCAGATTAATGGACACAGTGACGGAATGTAACTTTGGATTTGAGAAGGTGATCCAATCCAAAGGAGCTAGAGGAAGAAATCAGACAAATAAGTTATTTGTTCCCTTCCAAGATATGGACTTCGTCAAGAGCTTCATGGTGAGGTATGAGTCAGCCCAAAGAGGAACTAAAAGACTCACCTCCCTCAGGTTACTGAGCGAGCTAGATATTCTTCCTACCTATCTCTGTGATAGAGGAAGATACGGCTTTCAGCTCTTTTATATTGATGAAAAATCAGTTAGCGAAATATCTATTGGTAAGCGACTTGATGAATCTTTTTGACAAGTTTAGTAAGAAAAGATACACAAGAAGCCTGAATTTATATAAAGCTTAAGAGACTCCCAGAGTTTTACACTTTTGAGTATAATTCATCAGGTAGTAAGGTAAAGTTATATATGAAGAAGCAAAGGAGCAAGCTCTGGTCTGACGACATTTTGGTTAGCTCAATCCAATCCCAGATGACTGTAAGAATATGTGGAACTTTAAGTCTGAGAAGTGAAATCCCTTTAGAGCTAATCCCTTCTGATGAGCGAAAGGAGGGTTTAACTGAGTTTGCAGCCCCTTATATTCTAAAACAAGCATTTAAAAATAGGTAAGTGAATTTTTTTAGTAAAAATTGGCTACATAATTCTTGTAGCTACAAAAAGTAACCGATCTACTGAGAACCATTCAGAACTCCTGTTTCTCTTTGATATATTTTGTATCCTCGGTGGTCTCTCTCTTTCATCTCACTCTAATAGCCTTCCAAATCTTTTGTTGGAAGGAAGATTTAAAATTAACAAAGCATTCGAGTAAATTTTATGAAGTTTTTACTCATATACTAAGAATCTTCTGTTTTTAAAATGTAGAAATTTGTTGAGGAATAAAGGAGAAAAGGTTTAATAAAGAGTCAAGGAAGTTTCTATCTTAATCAACTATACTCTAAGCCTTCGTATGCTGTTCGCCATAGCTTATTTCAACACATATCTAGAATTTTAAGATTCTTACTAAAATCCACGAGATTTGGAAAAAGTGCGATAAAAATTTCAAAATTTCTGAGGAAATTCTAATGTAGAGTCTTTAAACCTCTAGGAATTTTTTAGAAATGAAGACTAATCATTTTTTGAAATAGGTTGTTCAAAGGGATAAATCCTAATAACAATAAGTTTCTCCAGAAGCACTCTCAGTTCGTCAAGGTTCCACCTGAGGTGGAACTGATCATGAGGAAGAACTTTGCAGAATTTCTTGAAACAATGTCTGGACTACTGAGATCTCTACCATTCAAAGTGATGTACTCCTTCTTATGCCTATTCAGCAAGAGGGTGATCCATGTCCTGGATTACTCCCTCCAAGAGTACAAACGCACTCTTGAACGGATCAAGATGACATTAAGAAAGGAAAGATCAAGGGATGCTGTAGATACAATGGAATTTGCTGTTCAAAATGTGGCATTAGATAACCGATTCTGGAGAGAAGGACTCTACGATAGGATAATGAAGCTATATTCTGCTACTTATGATCATTTCAGTCAATATTTTGATGACATCCAAATGACAGACAAGTTGGTTAGAGTTCGAAAAGTTGTAGTCACTCCTTCTAGAATTGAGCTAGATTTCCCTTTCCTGAACTCAACTAATAGAGCAATCAGGAACAACCTTGAAAATATAGATGATTTTATTAGAGTCTCTTTTATGAGTGAGGACTATCAGAAGGGGAATTATTCCTTTAATTACTCAGACTCAGAAGGTATTTTTAACCATCTCAGAAATGTTCTTGAAGATGGTTTTAAGATTGGAGGTAAAACCTTCAAGTTCCTCCATTATTCTAATTCCCAACTTAAAAGTTACTCATGCTGGTTTATGAATGAAGTTAAGCCCCACTTGACTTATAATAGGGTCATTCAGGAACTTGGGAATTTTAACGGACTTGGGACAGTGTCTAAGAATGCCGCAAGAAGAGGCCAGGCTTTTAGCAGCACTATTAAAACCGTTTCTCTTGATTCTAGGAAGGAAATTCAAGAACTATCAGATATCAAGAAAAACGGCTATGAATTTACAGATGGATGAGGGTTCATTGATCCTGAACTCTTAGAAGATATTCGAAAGAAGTACTTTAGCGGTGTCTTTAGCTCTGCAATCCAGATTAGACTTGGAGGATACAAGGGCATGCTCCTTGCTTCAAAAGAAATCCCAAAAGGGGTTAAAGTACAGCCTGTGAGAAGCATGAGAAAATTCGAACTTGATAAAAATCAAACCTTTCTTGATTTAGAGGTAGTGAAGCTTGCTCATTACATGCCAGGATACTTGAACAAACAAATAATTCAAGTTCTTTGGGCAAATGGAGTTCACTCACGAATTTTTAGACAAATCCAGCATAGTTATATTGATAAAATGCTTGCTTTTTATAAGTTAAGCAAGGTTGGAGAGAAGTACAAAAATCATGATGAGATCCTCCAGTCAATAAGCTTGATCAGCAGGAATGTTCTATCTGCGAACCAGAAAGGGAAATCTTATTCTGATCCCTTCTTGCATCCAATTGTGATGTCCATTGCTTATAGTAAGATACTGAAAGTTAGAAATAAATTCAAGATTTATGATGAACACGGTTGCAACTTGTTCGGAGTTATTGATCCATACAACTGCTTAGAAGAAGGAGAAGTCTTCATACAGTTTAATAAGTATGTTAAGCATCCACATGAAAGAGCTGCATATGACCATACATTGATCACAGGAGATGTTCTGGTTTCAAGATCTCCTTGTGTTCATCCAGGAGACATGCGAGTTCTAGAGGCTGTCAATGAGCCTGCCTTACTTGACTTTGTCAATGTTATCATCTTCTCAGCTAAAGGAGACAGGCCAGAACAACACAAAATGGGATATGGAGACTTAGATGGGGATATTTATTGGATTAATTGGAGACCAGAGTTTATCAAGAGCTTTGTTCAAGCTGAGCCAAGCGAACCCCCAGTTGGGTTCTTTGAAGGGGAGCCTTCAGTACCCCTGACGGATTATAGTGAGGAAGTAGGGCAGCAAGACTGAATTGACAACTTCCTAGACTATATAAGAAAAGATTTTCTAGGACAAATAGCCAATTTGCACTGCAAGATAGCTGATCAGCATCAGAATAATCTTCATTTAGTTGACTGTATGACTCTCGCAAGGATGCATACTCAAGCTATTGATGGTCAGAAGAGAGATGTCGAATTTGATCCTGAGGAATTCAAGCAAATCAAGAGAAAATTTGACTTTGAAGTGGACTTCATGTCAAGAGGGAGACATAAAATTGGGAAGAAAAATATAAGACCATCTCCTGGTGTGATAGGCATACTTTATAGAGATTTACAGAATTATGTTCAAAAGGACCATATTATAGAATTGGAGTATATGTTCAAAATTAAGAGAGATTACTGGATTCCTGAGAGACTCTGGAAGGATATGAAAATATGCAATCATCTTCCTTACATATACTCCTCAATAGTGAGACCCTACAATGATTCTATTCGTAACTTACTTCACAGTAAGGGCTTGTGCAGTGAAGGAGACTTATTTATATCAAACAGCTTATTAAGCAATATGGTTGCAACTAAAGAAGAATTATTCCAATCTAGAGAGGATGTAACAATCATTCTTGAAGGAATGAGAGATACTTATCGTAAATAAGCTTAAAGAGTACCAAGAAGACTATTTCAAACATACAGAACAAGAGAATAGCTCCAAAGAGTTTAAGCTACATCCAGTCTTGAACAAAGCTTTAGAGTTTGCGACCTACTTCAACATTTGGCAAAAAGATTCGCCTTGAATCAAGAGATTTTATCAAAACAGAAAGTTTAAGCTCTTTGTGAGATACATCGATAGGGATCATCCGAGAGGAAAACCAATGTGTTATGAAGAATACTGGAGGAAAATTTCCTCATCTCATCTCCAGATGCATGATATTTGAAGAGTGATCGAACACTCCCAGTTGTTCTCTGCTTGGTGGCTCCTAGGCGACCTCTAACCTTAGATGGCTTTACCAATGCAGAGCAGGTTAGATGTTGGAGAATAAATATTAAAGTTCAACTGGTGTCACCCAAAGTGGGGTTTTGGGGTTTTGGGGTTTTGGGGA